ATATATATATATATATATATATATATATATATATATATATATACCACATTTCTTTAATTGTTAATCGATTAAATATTTAATCTAAACTAGAATCATTTTTTATAAACGAAAAGATATAATTAAAGAATGTACATCTTTTTTAAAAAAAAATTTCAAAAATTTTTTTTTCACTACACTATATCCATATCATGTATATTTAACCTTTTTTTCAAAAAACTTTATATCAATTTAATTATATATTTAATCAAACTAGTATCGTTTTCTATAAATGAAAGATATCAAAGGTCGTATGATTAATACTTCGAGAAATAATTATTAAATTGTTGCACGAACCTTATCAGGTAATGGTTCGGCCACGTGGGGTGGAGGAAGCGGAAGTGGCTGTACTGTTCGCCGTTGACGGTGATGAAAACGGCGCTTCCACCCACGGGTGGAATCGCCACTGTTCACCGTTGAAATCAGCCCGACGACCACGACGGGTAATCCCCACGTAGTTTTGCAGCCTGCATCAAGATGGCTCCATTGACCTCTATCCAACAGGATCACTGGGACAGCCTTCGTCTTTTCCTCCTCTTCTTTTCCGCTCCTTTCTTGTATTTTAAGAACGACCGCGTTTTTCGATTGGCCTAAAAATCACAGAGAGAAAAGTCGATCAATAAGCGTGGATGTAACCAGCCGAACTAAGGGTGGAAGAAAAGTGAAAAGAGAATGAACAGAGAGAGAGACGAAAATAGAAAATAGAAAATCGTGACAAAATTTATCCTCGTGATGAAATTTACATTTCGGATTCTCGTTTAATTAAATCGAATGAAAATATTTCATTATGAAAAATTGTAAGTATCGGATTCTAAATATTATTTATTCATTTTACACAATTGATACATAATATTCTCATTAACGTAATAATAATCGTCATAGATGTTAGCTAATTAATACACCTATTCCTAACGCCCTTTAAATCGACATTTCACGTATATGCGATATAAACGAAACAAAGCGTTATTGTCCTCGCACATTAAACAATATCATATCTATACAACAATTTTGTTCCAATAATGTTTCGATATCAATTAAATTATCCACGTAGCTCTTCGTCATTAGCTTTGATCCAATAGATATAACGTTCGAAGTGACGTTTGAACGTTTTGAACGTTTCCACACGTTCAATCTCATTTTCGACGAAAACTATTTTCTCTCTCTATCTGTCTCTCTCTCTAGTTCTCTACATGCGTCTGTCGTACAAAGGATTGGTTGGTGTATATCCGGCAAATGCCAGAAGGAACTCGTAGAAAGCACAGCCACTCGTTAATCCTTAAAACGAGACGAGAGCCTTACCAGAGATAGCTTCAAACTGTCGTCAACAGAGTACAGTGGTGAATTTAACGATTCTCCGAGGAGCAATGTTAATTTTCTGTTTCGTCGTTCTTTCTGGATTAAACATCAACCGGTATCTCTTTGAAACACACAAATTCTCCATTTACTTACCCTCCCTCCTCTTTCTCTTTCCTTCTCTTTCCATTCTTCTCTTTAATTTTTAAACAATTTTTGACTCGATCCACGATAAATTAATATTCTTGTTGCTCTTTCAATATTTAACGATTACCTGTTGTGATTTGCTATTCCTTCAAATGGATTTGAATATTTTGAAAATAATTTGCCATTTCGCGAGAAGAGAGAATTTTATTAAATTTTTAAAGGATTGCATTCTATTAACTTGCAACTTAAGATTATTTTTAACGAAAGAAAAAGAAAGTTCGGTTTTAGAAATTTCGATTTCAACAATTAAAAATTATTTCCAAAAAAGGAAAAGAAGAAAGTTTAGTTTAGAAATTTCAACAACTCACGATTATTTCTAACGAAAGGAAGGGAAAATTTAATTTGGAAATTTCGTCCGGTTTCAACGCAACCTTTTCAAAAAAAAAAAAAAAGAAAAGGTGATGGTTCTGCGGCGCTTTTCTGGCCGATGGAACTGATCATCCTTTGTAGCGGTCACGGAGCAATAAAAAGGTAGTCGATGCTAGAATCGTGGCTAGACATTTCCATCGAAATTCTCAGTTGTTTGCTCACACTTTGCCGAGTGCGGTCGAGCGGAAACGCTAAAGACGATCTTGAATCCCTATGAAACGATATTGTCCCCCGCGATTTCCTGATAATTTCACCGAAGAGAAAAGGGAGTAGGGGGAGAAAAAAAAAGGCTAGATGATCAGGGACGTGATTTTCATAGAGAAGTTTTTCTCACGCCGCGCGCAGGGACCATTTATCACTTTGTTATCTCTTTAAAAAATTTATAATTCCGTGATTTCTTCTATTTATTTTTATTCAAATTTAACAATCGTTTAATACGCACATTAGACATTTTACTTTCTAAAGTTTGCGGCCGTTCATTGCAATTGCTTAATGCTTCGTTTTATCTTTAATGATAAAACTGGAATTAATTAAGCGGATAGAATTGTAAGCATTGTAATCGATGTTGAAGAAATATATAATAATTAGGAGGAAGAAAATTTCCTTTTTGCTTCTCTTACTTGTCTACTTGTGCCTCGATATAGAAAGTGGTTCGATAAATTTGTTGTGAATATTTTAAAATTAAATATCAGTATATATATAATAAAATATAATAAATAATATAATAATAAAATATAAATAAAATATAAATAAAATATTCACAACAAATTTATCGAATTACTTTCTAAAGTTATCGATGTGTATGTAGATTTGAAAGATGAATGTTCAAGCGATCAAAAGTAGATATAAAAGAAACAAAAAGGAAATTTTCTTCTCGTTTCAATTTTATCTATATATAGATTTATTCAAATCTATCTTTAAGTATAAATTCTCGTTACATATTTTAAATAGTTTGCACAGATGAATGCACGGATTATTAATGCTTCCTTCCATACATATAATTATTCGAAATGTTATGTACGTGATAGATAATACAAACCTATATAATATATCCTCACGAGAGCTGTATTTATGCGAAGCAATAGCAATTACACGTTCGAGATAGTACTGTTGCACAAGAATGAGCTATTGTTCACAAGTCAAGATTTTATATACACGTACAAACTATGCCACTCTGCCCGATTCGTTCCTGATATAATCTCGAAAACACTTACTACATACACACAAGTGTTTCCAAGCGATTGCCATCCGATTGCTATTAAATGCCCTAATTTGCAAGAAGGGATTAATGGGAAGCCAACGGGAGATAAATTATTTCTGGTCATATAATTCAATTGATGCTGTTTAGATTAAACGAACCGTTTAAAACGATATTATTAAAGGTAATATGAAAATATAGAATCGGATATGGATTTAAAATTTTTCTAATCCATTTATAAAATGTACACAAATTTTTTTTATGTAATACAAATTTTCTTCATTTCAACCAATTTATGAAATTATTCGACGTTAATTCGAAAATAAAAGATTGAAAGATCAAGTAATTAATACATTCAATGCACAGTTGTGAACAGAGTGAACATGTTACTTTTAGAAAATTTCTTATTTTATGACATATCAGTTACGTTTTCTTCTAAAAAATATAAAAGCTTCGAGTCAAATATCTATCTTCTCATTTGCAATAGTGTATACGATCGATTTCGAATTTTCTTGCATTTTTCCCCCATTTTAAAATCGTTAAAATTTTCTTAATCAAATTTATATCGAATGTAACAATAACATCGATAAAATCGATCTCTCCGCTATTCCAAATGTTCATTTACGCTACTAACAAAATTCAAAAGTGCTAGCAAAGTGTCGTTATAATAAGAAATAATTTCCATTGAAACGAGCTAAAGCGACGAGTGAAAAGGAAACGGGAGGAAACTGCAGGAACAGCTGACATTCCTCACCTTCCTCTAGCAATTTCCTAGAAGGCGACAGCAAAGGTCAGAACGATATGTTATGCGTGGGCGAGACGATTAGACCAAAACGTTTCAGAATTCTCCATCAACGTCCTACTCGAGTTTCAGGGAAATTCGTTCGAATCATTTCTCGAGTCATTTAGAAAACAAAACCGTGTTCGAATTGCGAGACGAAGAAGTAAAGATGGACGGCCATCCATCGCATCGTGGATCGCAAATTAAGATCGATCTTGAGAAATGAGGAAGGGTTAGAGAGAGAGAGAGGAGAGAAATTTTTTCCACTCGAGCTCCTCGATTTTTCGAACCGAAGAAGTTTATTATCTCGTTTGCACTTCGCTTTGTGCCGCGCGATATCGTGTCGCATGTCCTGTTTTTTCGCCACGGATTTTTATGAAAGTGGGGGGGCGTACGTTGGCAAGGAAATTCTCCACGGGGATGGAGAATGTTCTGTAACTTTTCAGGTTTATTAGTCTCGAGGGCGGTGCTTCTTATTGAAACAAAGTTCTCGCCACCTTGACTAATTGGAAGGATACGTTTCTTTCCTTTTCGAATTGCACGGATTTGTCAGGTTTTTTTCTCCTTCTTCTTCTTCTTCGATTTCTTTGTCTTCTTCTTCTTTTTTTTTGTTTCTTTTTTTGATGCGATAAATACCATCGATTTCGAAACGATGCCAAGATCCGATATCTGCGGTGGTATAAATGGTGCAAGGGAATTTTCCAAGGGAAGGGATTTTTAGATATTTTTACGCTGAAAATTTATATCCCTGGGGTTTTGACTGTGGAAATCTATGTAGAGGCCAGGATTTTTATAAAACTTGACAGTTCCACCACTGGATTTCAGATTGAAAATGTTTAATATTGTATTAAGATCCGGGGCAAAGAATTTTATTCGCGCGATAAATATCGATATCGATATCGATTCATATCGAGACGAGAAGATTGTATACTACGTGGTAAATGGGAACAAGGGGATTTTGTTCAAAGAAAATCTTTGATATTTTTTTAAATATAATATTGTACCCTTTGAGTTTTGAGGAAAATATAAGGATTCACTGTATAAAGATTCGAAAGAGGTCCCATCTTTTCTATAAAATTTAATATTTTAGATGTATTTCAAAATATAAATATAAAATTAAAATCCATATGAAATAGTTTAAAATAATAATTTAAAAAATTCACATTATTAGAAATATAATATATATGCTTAAAATATTCATAAATATTCTAATTATTTACTCTGACTACTTAAAAAGTAGCTAATTTAGTTAGATTAACTGCTTGAAAAAATTCAATCGTGATTTTCACGCTTTAACTTAAATCAAACTGAACTTGTTCTAATTCATATTGTAATTTACTACTATTTACAAATTTGTTGCCGAGTAAACAAAGTTTATTTTTATGCCAAAATAACGATTACTCCGACGTAATCGAAAGTCTTTTTTATTAAGTAAATTCGCGAAACGTTCGAGTTCCATCTTGATTTTCCGAATTTTGGGTTCGCTTTTTCACTTCTCCTCATCGAGTACCAAGTCTAGTTTTTACGCTGCAGGTATTATGGTGCAATATCGAGCGCGTTTAAAGCTGACATAACCGAGCAGAAAATTCGAGGAATACTCAACTTCTCCACTTCACCGATCACCGCGAATTCAAGATTTTCAATTATTCAAGCGTGTGCATCCGAATCGTACAATTCTTCCCGATTTTTCAACTTAATAATTCGCTATATTTAAAATAACTCGTACGAGAAAAATTCTTCTC